GGTCCCTAGTGATTAACATGTCCAAAGGATGTGCTTGCAGGTGATATTGCTTAAATAATTTTCACATTCTCTTGAGCCACTTTTCTTTGCTATGGGTCCAAATAGGAGTCCCTTACAGTCAGTTGGCATGGTAGCTGTATTCCAGATCTCTTGACATAGACGATGACATAGATGAGTGAACCTCTCCATTGCTGCATCTCTTTGTCAAAACATCACAATTTGTATTCTACCTAGTTTTTCACAAATGTCTTCATTAGGGCTTGGACTTCTTCTTTCAGTATCATGAGTTCTTGATCATATGTTGGCTGTTGAAATGGCTAAACACCAACCAGTTGGTTTTGCTATAATGATGGTATATTCTTCCATCTTCTTTGGATGCCTCTTGCATCTTCAATATTTTTTCCACAGAGCCATTCAACATTTCAACTCGAGACTTCCATTTTTACTTCTGTTCATTCAGCCAGATAAATACGTAGTGTGTTTGTGTTAGACTGGGTTGACTAGAGAGACAAATTCACTGACACTCATATATATGAAAGAGTTTTATACTAAAGAGTAATTCTATATTCAGCCTAGTCCAGATCAAGTCTCTAAGTGCGACATTAGCCCATTAGTCCAATATTAATAAGTCCAATATGATAAGTCCATAAATCCTTCAGACTCACACAGTCACACAATGATTCAAAATGCAGGAAGATCACAGGCCGGTGGGTGCAAACTCTTGTGGGTCCAAGAGCGGTGGAAGCATGTCAGCACTGGTGCAGCTCGGCAAGTGGCTCCTCCTGCTCTCCAAGGGTGGCTCTTCAATAGGAAGGTATAACAGAGAAGAGTATGTGTGTGGAAGGAAGGAGAAGAAGTTCCCAGAATCCCCATGAGAGGACCACGCCCATTAGGCAGTGACCTGACTGACAGGCTAGACTCCACCCCTACACTTTTTAAAAAAAATAAGTTTAGTGGGGTCTATTACAGCTCTTATCACAATCCATACATCCACTGTGTTGAGCACATTTGTACATATGTTGCCATCATCCTTTTCAAAACATTTTCTTTCTACTTGAGCTTTGGTATTAGCTCCTCATTTTTTCCCTCCCTTCCCCATCCTCCCTCCCTCATGAACCCTTGATAATTTATAAATTTTTATTATTTTCATATCTTACACTGACTGCTGTCTCCCTTCACTTATGTTTCTGTTGTTCATCCCACCCTGGGTTGGGGCGGGGGGGGGGGGGCAGCTATACATCTATCATTGTGATCAGTTCTCCCTTTCTCCCCACAACTTCCCCCTACCCTCATAGTACTCCCATTATTGTTCGTTTATCTGTCCTGGACTCCGTGTGTCAAGAGCTCTTATCTGTACCTGCTCTGGAAGGTAGAATTGGGGTCATGATCGTGGTGGGGAGAAAGCATTAAAGAACTAGAGGAATGTTATATGTTTCATCAATACTTTACTGTACCCTAGCAGGCTCGTCCCTTCCTTGTGACCCTTCTGTGAGGGGATGTTCTATTGTCCACAGATGGGCTTTGGGTCTCCACTCCACCTCCTCTCAGCCCCCCTCATTTGCATCGATGCAATTGTTTATTTTGGGTCTTCTGATGCCTGATGCCTGATCCCATCAACACCTCATGATCACACAGGCTGGTATGCTTCTTCCGTGTGGGTTTTGTTGCCTCCCAGCTAGATTACTGCTTGTTTATCTTCAAGTCTTTAGAACCCCAGAAGCTATATCTTTTGATAGCTGGGCACCAAGAGCTTTCTTCACCACATTTGCTTATGCACCCATTTTGTCTTTAGCAATCTTGTCTGGAAGGAGAGCATCACAGAATGGCAAGCTATTAGAACAATGTGTTCTTGAGTTGAAAGAGTACTTGAGCAGAGATCCAATGTCCGTCTGCTACCATAATATTTAACATATAATGTGTGTACATTGATCTATGTGCCTATTGTTATATATAAATATATTTACATATGTATATGCCTATATTTATAAATATATAAATGTCCTTTGACTCCTAGTTCTTTCCTCTCCTTTTACTTTCCTCTTATCCCGCTCTCATGTTGGACCTTCATTTGGCTTTTATTAATTCTAAGCTACATTTCATTTGATCAAGCTCTACAAGGCATCCTACACCCTACTCGCCATCAATTTTAGATCACTTGTTGTTCCCGTGTACCTGGGTTTGTTGGCTCCCCCTACCCTTCCCCCACCTCCTCCTCTCCCATGTCCTTCATAAATGTTGATCCCCTTGTTTTCTCCTTGGGATTGTTTATCCTGCCTATCTTACATAGATATACATGGGCATAAAAGCCTATAAATAGTTCCAGGTCTGTCTGTTGACCTTTATGAATGTTTTCTGATCGAGTCTGATGAGGGCCCATGCCCTGCCCCTGACATCTATTTTTGGGATTCCCCAGGGACTTCATTGCTTTGCTCTCCTTGCTGCTCTGTTGCATGCCCTTCGTGTTTCACCCTGGTGTGGTGGGGTCAGATCAGGCACAATTCCCACACTGTGTCTCCAATGTTGTCCCCTGCATTGCTACGGATCAGTGAGAGGATGCCGTATCTCATGGTGGGGCTGGCCCTATAGTCCTCTTAGTGCACTGGCTGCTCCAAGCAGGCATATCATCCTCAGAGCTTGGTGAGCATGCGTTTCACTCTCTCTTTCTCTCTCCTTCCTCTTATTTTGCTCCTGTGTGTTCTGAGCAGACTCTCCCTGAGCTGTAGCTTCAGTGTCGTCCTCTGTAGTGCATTCTTCTGAGGAGGGTTAACCCCTACACTAATGTTGACGTGAAATTTGTGTAACTACCACAATGTTCTTCCCTTTCGGTTGTCTAACCCCAGGTCTTTGCACGTTTCATTATGATGCTTTGCTTTGTCTTCACAAATCAGACTTTGAAATCTTCTGTTGGGCTCTTTTACTTGATCATTCCTTCATTTGCTTTAGCAAAATGTTCAAGAGCAAGTGTCAGAATCTCTTCTGACATACACTTTGGTCGTTTTTTTTCTTCCCTATCTTTTCAATGACCTTCTGGTTTCTTCATGTGCAATGTCCTTCATGCCGTCGCACAACGTGCCTGGTCTATGGTCATTAATGTTCAATCAATCAAATGCATTCTTGAGATGATCTCAAAATTCAGGTGGGATGTCCTCAAGCGTTGGCTCTCATGGATTTATTTTAGCTCAGCTTCCACTGCATTTGTGTGAGAGCAATTAGTCTGTCCCACAGATAACCCTTGACTTTAGTCTCACTAAATATGTTGAGTTTCTCCATAATCTCTACACAGATGTGGTTGATTTGATTCCTGTATATTAAGATCTACATATAGTGCTTCTATGTCTGCTGTATAAGAAAAGATATTTGCAATAATTAGATTGCTATTATGAGCATCATTTCCATCACCAAGGCCATATTGTTCAGCTACCAATCCTTCTTGTTCATCTCACATCACAATCACCAGTAATTATCAACGCAACTTGATTGCATGTTTGATCCATTTCAGACTGCAGAAATTGGTTGTGGTGTTGCTTGTTAGGTGCCATTGGGTCAGTTCTGACCCCTAGCAACCCTGTGCACAACAGAACAAAACATTGCCCTGTCCTGTGCCATCCTCACAACTGTTCCCATGGTTGAGCCCATTGTTGGAGTCATTGTGTCAATCCATCTCACTAAAGGCTTTCCTCTCCTTTTCCACCACTCTAATTTACCAAATATGATGTCCTTCTTCAGGGACTGATCTCTCCTGACAACATTGGTAGAAATCTTTTGAAGTAGGCTCAAAAACACAAACCAAACTCAATAGTATTGGGTTGATTCTTACTCAAAGAGACCCTAAAGAACAGAGTAGAACAACCCCTATGGATTTCCAAGACTGGAACTCTTTACAAAAGTACAACGCTTTGTCTTTCTTCCATAGAGGGCTAGTGGTTTTGAACTAATGACCTTGCTATTAGCAGCCCAATACATAATCACTACTCCATCAGTGGTAGAGTTATTATTTGGTTTGTGGCAGAAGTTTGGAAAATACACCAAAAAAACCCAGCTAAAGTCAAGATGAGGGAAGACTGTCTTGGGAATTCCCTAGTGAGCCTGGCCCACCCTGACGTTCAGAGACACAACCTGTGGTGCTTTGTGAGGAACCAAAGCTAACAGTGAGGGTCCTGGAGGAATGTGAGAATCCCTTAGACAGCCATTGCCTGCGAATATAGCTCCTCAGCGCTGTTTTTTGAGATGTCATGGGCACAGAAAACTGGGTTTGGTGATTAGATTTTCAACAATAGCTTGTTTGGTATAGATTATATTCTCCTTTTGGCCTCCTTTAAGAATTCCAAGTAATTCTCTGAGAAGATAAAGACTAAGTTGCTATACTTTCACATTTATTTTATTTTCTATAAAAAGGCAGTGTAGAGGAGGGTAATATTGTTCCAAACCCTTTAGGAATGTATTAGCTAATCCTGCTTTTAATAAAACGAGCATCATTCTTTTTGTATCTGTTTTACACATGCAGAGACGTGGGTCAAGTGTTTGCCCCAGGACCGCAGAGTTGCTAGGCAGCAGAACCATTTATTCACTCATTTAACAGACAGCTATTGACTGACTGAGTGTGCCCTCCCAGACACGGGGTGCTGGGATCACTGTGACGCATAAAACAGGCCACGTTTCTGCTCTCGTAGTGCTTACATTCTAGTGACCGATACCAGGGGATCTCAGCGTGGTCACCTGACTGGAAGTCCAGGCTGCATCACTTCCATGTCAGAACTCCCCCACAGCCTACACAGCCCCCAGCAGTGTCCATAATCCTGGGTCCGCCTGCCTAAGCAACGAGCATGTCACAGGACTCTGGGAGCCTGCAGGAGAGAGGGGTGGTGAGAGGAAAGAAAGCACATCTATGGAGGAAGGGGTCGAAGGAGAAAACAACAGCAAAAGAGCCGCCACTGTTCCTTGACTGATGACAGTTCTGCCTTGGTCCTTGTGACGCTTGCCTTTTCTCGCCCCTGTTACAGCAGCAGCATTGGTGTGTTCTTCTGCGGACCCAAGGCGCTCTCAAAGACACTTCAAAGGATGTGCCGCTTGTATTCCTCAGTTGATCCCAGGGGAGTTCAGTTTTATTACAACCAAGAAAGCTTCTAGACTTTGTAGACCACGTCTAGGTACTGCGTCAGTAGCCACTATAAGAGGCTGTGAGATCTCAGTTGTGTCTACTCAACTCATGAAAGAAGCCACCACCAAGATGGAAATGAATGGAAGGGGCTGTGTCCCTATCAAACATTGTTATAGACAATAAAATGGACTTTTATATAATCTCAGGCATCATAAAATAGTCTTTTTTATTTTTTCCCCCCAATGACTTTTTTTGAAAACGGAACATCATTCGCAGCTCATGGGCAGTATGAAAACAGATAGGCAGCCAATGGGCTGTAGATTGCTGTCTGTCTGCAAAGATGCTGATGTTGTCCTTCTTTCCCCACTAGAAATCACATGGAATGTCACATGTGACACAGAGGCCCGTCACTGCTGGGCTTTAGGAGTCATTTCAAATTGCCATCACCCTGATGGCAGACATGGCTACCTTATGGCCCCATCTGAGCATGGCTGCTTTCAACATAGGCCCCTTTGTGATTTGTTGTTGCTTTTTCCATCCTCTGCAGGCATGGAAATCACCTACAGGGAGTAAAGTTCAATCAAACCCTTTATAGACTTGAAAATGATAACAACCATTCCTGTCTATTTTCTCTTCTCGTCAAAACCATACTAAATTCTGAACCTTTCAGCCCAGGATCCATTTTCCAGCCTTTCAATCATTTGTGTTGCTCTTCTTCACAACCATTTCCACTTCTTCGCAGCATTTTAGAACGTGGTGACTAAACCAGGGTGCCGTGTTCTAATCGAAGCATGATGACTATTGCGTAGAAGAGGGTTGTATTAGATCGTGTGTGCCGAGTGCTTTTCAATCCTATGAAATTGTATATTTGCCTTTATTTCCTCCCTCCTTCCCTCTCTTTTCCTTTCTTTCTTCTCTTTCTCCCTTACTTTCAGATTTCTTCCTTATTCTTTTTTTCAAAAACATATTTCATTTCCATAAAATTCTGGTCAGTGGTCATCTTGACACTTGTACCCAAACTCAATGTCTGGCCAATAAGCATAGTGTGGAATTTTTTTATTTTATATTCCCATGAAACCAGTCTTTCCACACAAGGTAGCTCTTGTGCCCCAGAAGTACTCCTCACATCTTAATAGATTTCTATACAAATTTAAGTTACTCTTTGAGAATGAAAATATTTGAAGGCTGTTTTGACTTTCGGTCCCAACTCCCAATACTGGGATACAGCTTAGTAATAGCTGGAGAACTAACTAATTGCTGGTTTCTCAACTCTTGCATACAAGCTTTCACTCCAGAGAATTCTACCATGAATTTCAGAAAGTACCTCCAAAGAGCTCCAGTTTAGGATCAGATTCTTGATAGCCAAACGTGGAGGACAGTATACCATACCACATACATAGTCTTAGCTTATAAAGATGTCATGTACAATGGGACAAAAAACGTTTTACTGAAACTAAAAAAGCTTCTGTTTTTCAAGTGCTTCCTATCTTTGCGGACTGTTATTCAGTCACAAAGAAAATTAAATTGACTACATTTGATTTGCTTTTGCAAAGTCAGGCTGTCACATTAGCTAATCCAAGTACTCAAAAGTTATAAATTGATTATTTCTTTCAGTTCATCTTCAGATATTAATGTTGATTTGGTGTTGGATATATTCCAGGATGCTTTAAAATTATCTCTGCTAACTTTGCATCAGAATGTCTCCGTATCTTTAAGTGTGGCTTGGTGCATGTCATGTTAATAATACACCCAGTTGTACTATGTATTCATTTCCCCATTTAAGATTGATTCATTCCTTACAACTAGAGCTTTTTGTAGCCAACTAGATATTCACTGTTTATTTTAGCAAGACAATTGAGTGTATTAGAAGGCTCTTATGTCATCCTATCTATTTACTACTTTTCCTTTCCTATCTGTTTGAAAATAATGTGTACTGTTTTTATTTTATCTAATAAACTAAAAGATACTTGTCTTAAAACATTGTTTTTGATGCCCGCTATTTTCATTCCTTTGTAGTTTTGATCTTTTGTTTCTCCTACCAGATCGTGTAGAGTCTGTGGCTCCTGAAAAAAAGAAGTACAAAAACAAACTTTGTAGAAAACATTTTAGTAAAATAAAATAATACAGCAGTAACCAATAGAAAGTATAGATCTTTAAAAAGGAAAGGCTGCATTCAAAATAGAAATAAAATTCTAGAAAATCATTGAGGAAGAGGAAGACTATCGAGGAAAAGGCTGGATGCAGGGGCTGCAATGATGGGCGCAAACGTGAGAACAGTGGTGAGGCTGGTGCAGGGCTGGGCAATGGTCCCTTCTGTCGTGTATATCATCACTGTGAGTCAGGAACTGACTCAGCAGCACCTAACAATTAGGTGAGATTATGTAAAAAAAATCTATAGAAGCATACTTTAAAATGAGTAGAAATAGCCTATTTTCAAATAGAAATATTAACTGTAGTAAATATATTGATGTTCTTCAAAACAATTCATGTTGCTTTTAGATGGTGGCCAATCACGTCCAACTCAACAACCCATGGACAACAAAATGAAATATTGCCCAGTCTTGGACCGTCCTTACAACTATTGTTATATTTGAGCTCATTGTTGTAGCGCTGCGTCAATCCATCTCAGGGAGACCATTGAAAACACCATGGCTTGGGTCAGGCTCACTTTAGTCCTCAAAGTGACATCTCTACTGCTCAACCCTCCCAGGAGGTCTTGTGCAGCTGATTTGCCCAAGGTGATGTATTGTTTGACTTCTTGACTGCTGCTTCCATGGGTGTTGACCATGGATCCAAGAATAATAACATCCTTGGAAACTTCCATCTTCTCTCCACCTATCTTGATGTCAACCACTGGTCCAGTGGTGAGGGTGGTAGTCTTCTTTATATTGAGTTGTCATCTACACTGAAGGCTGTGGTCCATGATCTTCACCAAAAGGTGTTTCAAATCCTTCTTGCTTTCAGCAAGCAAGGCTGAGTCATCTGCATATCACAGGTGGTTAATAAGCTTTCTTCCAATCCCAGTGAGACTCTTGACTTTCCCTTACAATCTTGTTCTTCCCCCAATTTTTTTTCCTAGTTCAGTTAAGGGTGTCATCAAAATTACCTGCCCTAAAAACCTTCTCTCACCTTCTCACTCCTCCCCCAACCATTGTTTCATTGCCTCACTTGCTTTAGCTACACGCAATTCAGGAAAGTGTCTATTGTGTATAACAGAAATTTCCAAGTTACTCCCATTGCTTATGTACAGCTCAGCTTTAAAATGAGCTGTACAAGCTTATGGGGAGAGTTGGCCTACATATCAACACAAGTAAATCCCTCTCAGTGGGTAGACCGGTCTTCCCCTTCATTAAGAGATGACTGGCACCTTAGTAACACAATGCTCCATCTAGAAAGTCTATCTGTCTGAAATATTTCCTCAGACATCGATAGGCTGTTATTGTGCTACATTTTTTCTCTCTTCTCTATCTCCCTTTTCATCAATTTAAGAATTTCTCCCCTTATTAATTTTCATAGAACTGTATGGAGCCCTGTATGTTATTTCTCCCTTGTTCTAGAAGAAACTCTCCTTTAATCATTCTTTATTAATTCTAAACATCTTCAAATTATTATAAAGATTACTAATTGAGCCTAGAGACAGCCGCTCAATAGTGATTCATTTTAAATGCCGTGATTCTGCTAAGTGATCCCCTTACTGAGAGGAGTGAAGTCACTATTGCATTTTTCAATTCCACAATCTTAGGTCACAACCTCCACATGTTGAGGCAACTTACCTTAACATTCAGATTTACATTTTATAATATATTTGAACGCGTAAGCATTGCATGAAGGAATATAAGGTGTCAATAAATAATTCTAACAAAATATATTAAACCTTTACAAAGAATGTGCAAAATTCTATTGCTTGGCCGTGTCCACTTTGTACTCGCATAAATAGAGCTGCCTTCCTCACAAGACTATGGAGTGGTGGAATCCTATTGTCATTCCTGCTTTGCACTAAGCAAATGTCAGCAAAGAGGTGATGCCTCCTCCTCTTTCCCACTGGCTCAGGAGCTAGAATATACAGGTCAAAGCATGACAGAGATGCAGAAATGGTGGGGGTGGGGGTGATCAGTAGATATAGTCCAAGGCTGAGCTATCAGAGACGAATTTTTGTGTGTGTATTAATTAACAGCAAATTATTTGAGATTTGAACTCAAGATTACCCATATTTCAGACTGTCTCCTGGGTAACATACCAACGAGGTGGATGAGACCAGCACTGCAAAGAGTCTGAAAATCAGATTGACTTTGGAACTACAACACATCACATCGACGAGACCTACACCCGTTAACTGGTCGAGTCAAAGATGTAAATAAGAACCTAAATTTCAAAACATCATACTAAATATTTCAAGATACAATCTAAAATGCTTGATATATGAAAGAGCTCAACTCAGATGAGATTAAAAAAAAAATCAACAGAAGCCAACACCAAGATGACATAGACATAAAGATGACAGGATGACAAAAACATCTGGAGAAATAGAGTCTCAACCCAAAAGGCGTGAAAAGAACAAACTATGACTTCCAAACATTTTGAATAGATAATAACTGAAAGAGGGGGAAAATAGCTCACCGAATGGGCTAGTAGTAGGCAGAATTATGCCCTTCAAAGATGTCTACACCCTAGTCCAGAAGAATGAAAAAAGTTCTTGTGGAAGAAGTGCAGCCAGAAAGTTATAAGCAAACACCTTGAGAGGATGAGTTGCTGGGCCTGGGATCTCAGGACCAAAGTCTAGAGGAGTGGAGCTTGGAGAGGGGCAAGGTCAATTGGCATAACATAATCTACAAAGACAATAAATAGTCAGCCTCTTATTTTGGTGAATAGCAACTGGGATCTTAAAAGATCATGAGCAGCCATCTAAGGTGCAACTATTAGTCTCTCCCTGTCCAGAGGAAAGAAGGAGCGATGAGAACCAAAGACCGGTGGAAACAATGAGTCCAGTGGACAAATGGGTCACAAAAGTGTCAGTTTCCACAACCCTGAG